TGTAGTCATGGACTCTGACCTGAGTTCCAACAGTCACATTAAAACAGTTACTAAATCAGCCTACTATCACCTAAAGAATATATCTAGGATTAAAAGACTAATGTCACAGCAGGATTTGGAAAAACTTGTCCATGCTTTTATTTTCAGTAGACTCGACTACTGCAATGGTGTCTTCACAGGTCTCACTAAAAAATCTATTAGGAAGCTGCAGCTGATTCAGAACGCCGCTGCTCGAGTCCTCACTAACACTAAGAAAGTGGATCACATCACTCCTGTTCTGAAGTCTTTACACTGGCTTCCTGTGTGTCAAAGAATAGATTTCAAAATACTGCTGCTGGTTTATAAAGCACTGAATGGTTTAGGCCCAAAATACATTTCTGACCTCCTGCTAAATGATGAACCATCCAGATCTCTCAGGTCTTCAGGGACTGGTCAGCTTTCTGTCCCCAGAGTCAGAACTAAACATGGAGAAGCAGCGTTCAGTTATTATGCTCCAAATATCTGGAACAAACTCCCAGAAACCTGCAGGTCCGCTGCAACTCTGACTACTTTTAAATCCAGGCTAAAGACTTTTCTTTTTGCCGCTGCTTTTAATTGAACTATTCATATCTCAGACTGCACTGTAACTTTTATCCATGTATTTTTTCTTTTAATGTTTATTTGATTATCTTTTTTTTTTAATGACTGATTTGAAATGCCATTTTCTTAATGTCTTTCGTTTTTTGTAAAGCACTTTGAATTGCCTTGTATTGAAAGGTGCTATATAAATAAACTTGCCTTGCCTTGCATATGTGTAATTAAACCCATGATATCAAAATCTCACTCCAGCCAGGTACCCAAAGTTGGCAACCCTGGTTACTTGTCTTTTTGGAGTTACATTTTCTAAATGAATGGCCAGTGAATGAATATACATGTGTTTACTTATTTATTTGGTGTAATATTATTCATTTATAGTCCAGTATTATCCTATAAGTATAAGCCAGTGAATTAATCTAATCTCTTTGTTTTTCCACATTTGTTTTCAGTGATGCAGTTGAGTTTGAAATGGCTTCTGGACCCCCATCTGCCACTCAGCCTGTCTCAACAATGCCACGACCATCCACCCAGCCATCCACAGCCGTCTACTTCCACTCAGCCTGCCTCAACAAAGCTACGACCATCCACCCAGCCATCCCCACCCTCACATCCACAGCCGTCTACTTCCACTCAGCCTGCCTCAAGAAATCCACGACCGCAGCATGGTCTCCCCTCTCCATTTTCAGGCTTTTCTTTAGCACTGCCGTGGTTAATATAATCATTGCGAACACGAACGCCCACGCCCTGAGGAGATTACAGGCAGGAAAGAAATATCTTTGGAAAGTGCTGACTGCGAGGGATTTTTACACTTTCCTGGCCATTATCATTTTCACAGGCCTCGTCCACGTTCACCAACGATCGGACTACTGGAGGAAGAAATGGCCATACCACTTCTCATTCCCATCTGATAGGATGTCCCGGCAATGCTTTGAAGCCATCATGTGGTCTTTGCACCTGAGCATGAAGCAGTACATGAAAGACAAGCCAACAAAGTGGGAATACAAACTGTTTGTGCTGGCGGATTCCTCAACGGCATACACCTGGAATTTTTTTGTGTACACAGGGAAGAGTGAGTTCACCGAAGGCAAGGGACTCTGCTACTCCTCCGTGATGGACCTCCTGCCACTCCGTCTGCTCGGTGGGGGCTACACACTCTTTGTGGACAACTTTTACGCCAGCCCCACCCTCTTTGGGGATTTGTCCACTAAAAACATTGGCTGTTGTGGGACCATTCGGAAAAATCTAGTTGGTTTTCCACAAACTCAGTTGAACGCCCTTCCAAAGAAGGCTGAAAGGGGAGATTTGCGGTGGATAAGGAAAGGCAAACTCCTGTTTGTGAAGTGGATGGACACCCGTGAAGTGTCCATGTGTTCCACCGTGCACGAGGCCTTCAGCGGTCAGACGGTCCAGCGGAAAGTGAAACAGGCTGGCGTGTGGCAAACCAAGAACGTTCCCGTTCCTGACGCTGTGGTGGACTACAACCAAAGCATCGGCGGCGTGGATGTGTCCGACGCTTTGATCGGGTACTACAGCATTCTCCACAAAACCATGAAATGGTACAAGATTTTTTTTTTTCATTTCATGGACATTGTAGTGGTGAACAGCTTCCTTCTCCACAAGGAGCTGTTCAAGATGAGGAGTGACCCCAGCAGGACAAAGCCACACACCCAGAAGACTTTCAGGGAGCAGCTTGCTGCAGAGTTGTTGGAGTTTGCTGAAGGCCCTGCACCTCCACCACCCCCCCCTCCTCCACCACTCACATGCATGCCCGAGTATTATGGGGAAGATGCCACCAAGGTCAGGAAGAACTGCAGGAGGTGCCTAGATGCTGGACTCAAAAGGGTGAAGACACCTGTGTACTGCAGGAAGTGCCAGGTCCCTCTGTGCTTCACTGTCAAAAAGAACTGTTTCAGGGAGTGGCACAACCTAAATACTGGAACATTTAGGTAGGTATAAAGTTCAGGTAGGTATAATGTTTTGCGAGTGTTTTTTTTTTTTTTTTTTAAATACTGTTTTTACATACCTAGTGTGATTTTATTGTATAGTGTGTTGGTAAAATATTTGTTGTTTTTACAAACCTACAGTGTGGTTTTATTGTATAGTACGTTGGTAAAATGTTTGTTTTTACATGCCTATAGTGTGTTGGTAAAATGTTTGAAATAAATCTGCCCCAGTTGGAGTCCAATGTTACCTATGTTTCAGTTTTTTTTATTGTGCAAGTACACCTACACACACACTGACCTACAGTGTGGTTTTATTGTATAGTGCGTTGGTACAGTTACATACACACACAGCTACACTTACACATACACACCTACACATACCCACACACACACCTACACTTACACACACTCGCACACAAAAAAAATTTGGATTTTTTTTTTTGGGTGAAATGAATACCTATAGTGATGATTCAATGTAATACAATGATTTTTATAGTCTGGTACCTGGAAAAAGGTCAAATGGCACTGATGGAACCAGATGCACCCAAATGTGCCCAAAGCTTATTCCGCCTGGACTTTATTTACATAAACCTCTCTAAAAATGTCAAATTTCACTTGTTTTGCCTCAATCTTGATACAGGGTACTTATATGTTATACTTAGGATTCCTAAAGCTTTTAGGCTACTACCCCATCATTCAAGGTTGGTCTTCACTATAAGTAATGGGTTTTCTTTAGGCGGAGACAGGAATTTACATTTTTTTTGCTATGTTCCATCTGAATTTACTCTGACACAGAAACATCTATATTGATTCTGACACTTCTACATCCAACTCACAGATGTAACCTTGCTTTGATAACAACAAATATTCATATAAACCTTTTAGAAGTGAAGTTATAGTCATTTGTTCTGGGCATGTCATTTTCGAGCCTGAAACCTGAAAAACAGGCTCGGGGTTTAACAGGTTAATGCAGGACTGCGGGAGTATTTTCCCAGTGTGGCATGAGTACTTATGAGTAACACAGCTAGATATTTCTCCCATTTGTTCTGAAGTTTGTCAAGTTTTCCCGCACCTGTTTGCTATTTATTTACCCACCTCATCGAGGCTCAGAACCGGCTGTGGGATCTTCTTCTTCCCCTCGGATGGAGCCAGAACCGCGGAGCCGCACAGCAGACCCGTCAGCCCCGGAGCTACGGCGCACAACGACACCTGGCGTGAAACAAGGCACAACACACACTCACATTCACGATAAAGATGATAATAAAGCCCTTGTCTTGACTGAAGCGTCAGTTAAAACACTCTATACAATAATTCTGAAATGTTCTGAGTCAAATCATATGACGTCACGTTATATAAAGAGGGAAAGGGAACCGTTTGAATTAACTGACCTTTTAGCTACATCAGCTGACAACATGCTAACATTAACGGATTACTAATTTAGAAACGTTCAAACATATTTGAGTAGTACCAACCAAATTGTGTAAGACTACGGAGCTAAGCTTCACTTAAATGCAGGAACGCCTGACAAATACATAATGTTTAAATTGACACAAAGTAGTTAAACGTTAAAAGTAGTTACCAGTTTCACATATGACATTCTGGTCCAGGAGAGATTCGCTTTTCTACGGCAAGTCGTAAGGCTGACACGACAAAAGGCGCATGCGCGTTATTCGCTGTATCTGACGCATAAAGATATATTAATTATACTATAGGTATAAACATTCCAAATAATCGTATGCATTTAATGAATAGAGTAGATCATTAGTAGATATATAATTAATTCACAAGAAGCTATAAGTAGAGTCAGAAATAAACACACAGATATTAAAGCACCCAGTTGAAAGTTGACCAATATGAACATTTATTTCTGGAAAGAAGTTACAAATCGTTTCCAAAGAGTTTCTACTCAGATTATAAGATATGTTTATCTGATTTTACTTTCTTTTTCAGATACAGTCGTTGCAAGGTATGGTTTTATTTTTTAAATCCTCTATTCTGTTTCTCTACTGACAGACTGGCGGACTAAAGGACGCTGCGCTATGACTGAATGTGCCATAAATCAGGACAGTAGTACTTTATCGGTTACACGTTTCTTCGTTTAACAGCAACATGACAGGAGGAGGATGAGAGTGGCATATGTGATGTACATGATATCAGCCTCAGAGTTAGGCTTACCCGACTGTGTGACTTCTGTGGTTATTGTAAAGGTTTTGGATCTTAAAATCTGAGGCAAAATAGTGCAAAACCAGGAATAAATTATCTTGAACACGGTAAGAAAAAAAGCTTTGGGAATGAAATGTTTTGAGAACAAAAATTGATTATGTGAACAGAATGTTGAATTTCTAAAATGACAAATTTGAGCAGGATTATAGATTCATCAATCATTTCATTGAAATGTACTGAATCAACTACTCTTATAAATTGAATGATCATTTTAGACATTTTCCAATCATAAGCACCACACATTATGCTTGAAACAGATTTTAACATATGAGAAATAAACCGTTTTTTAATAATAGATCTTTGACCGTTATATTTATTTGAAGATCTCACATCGGGCACTGGGAAATTATTTTTCCCTATTTTTCTTTTGACATTTTATTCACTACAGATTGTTTAGCCACCCTGGAATTTGTTTCCCCTTTTCCAACATTTCCCCCCTCTGGAAACAAAGATGCAGTATGAAGTCCAAAATGAAACGCACAACATCTCACTGCTGAGGAGGCTTTAACGTGGGAAAGGTACACGGTCTAAGATTTCTACCATTGCCACAAAGCGATTAAGAGTTCCTCAAAAAAGGACAAGCTGCAGTGGCATCACATGAACACTGTAAAGCTCAGAAGAGAGGTTTGTGTGTGGACAGCAGGAAAAACTGTTCATAAAAATAAGCGTGAATTAAAAAAGGATGATCCCTAGAAAACATGCCACCTTTAAACAAGTTCAAACAATATGAAAAACCTGTAAATTAAACATCTTTTGAATGACAATCTGCATACAGTTTCAGGACATGGTAATAAATGTTTCAGTTCCCTCCTTTAAAGTGTACCTGTTTATCTGTTAAGACCCATCTAAATGTTAAAATACCTCCTCTATAGGATGATTATATTAACATAGAGCGTTCTCAAAGCATCCATTATAAGCCACATGCAGTGCTGCTCAGGAGAACAAATGAAAAGACAAAAAGTACAATTTGAAAACAACACAATGAAATTCTTGTAATAAATAACCCTACAACTGTTACTGCATAGCTCAGTGAAAGCAATAGTTGACAAAATAAATAACTTAAATTAACGGCTGAACTGCATCAGTATGTGTTCTCTAGCCCTTTTCACAGTTGGCTCATGGAAAATGAAAAATAAATATCTGGGAAAGAAATGGTCAGAATGGACAGGCTTGCTGGGCTGCTTAAGCTTTACAGATCCTACCACAACAGAAACTTCTGATATAACTGAAGCAAAGGCGGCATTTCAATGTCTGAAATCAACACATCTGACTGAAAAACGACGGGTTGAAATCAGCTTTGGTAAAAATCTTCTAAAACCTGTGCTGGCATTTTTTTTTTAAGTTTCAATGCTGCGAGTCCTGGTTACACTGAGCTCTGCTGGCTCAAATATTAGTACATGCAAAATGTATTTGTACCAGAAACACGCCAAATACTTAACAATTAGCAGGGCCACATGCAAAAAAAGTTCATAGGAATATATTTATATTTCTGTGATGAGTGCAAGCAATTTAAGATATTTGGAGCATTAGTATATTTTACTTTTATTTTTTAATATTAAAAAACCCCCATTAAAAACAAAGTTGCATATTTGCAGTACGAGTCATGAGAACAGGAAAACACGCTAAATTGACTTTATATGCCTTGAACTTCATGAAATTGGAGGTTAATCTGGTAGCGAATGAACGAAAGCAGGAACTTTATGCTAAATCTATTTTATGTTCACCATATCATCATGGTTGCCAAATTCCTGAGAGATTTATTTTAGGTTTTGTGATTTTTAATCGGCACATTTTGGCACAGAAACTTAAGTATTTGTTGGAATGGTCTCCAATAGCTGCCTCAGGGTCTTTATTGCAGGTGTTTGACAGTGTAAAATCACGTATAGTAGAATATAATTGTATCATATCTAAAATCTCCATGACTGTTACTTAGCACCAAGCCTGACATTAAATCATCCCGATGATATTTTCTAATTTGTTTTAAGGTTCTTTACACTTTACTCAAAGAGCTAAATGTGTTTGCTATTTTCTGAGAGCAGGTCTCGAAAATCCATTTTAAGTCTTATTTTGATTCTTTGGTAAGTTTTTGTAAATGAATTCTTCTTAAAAACGAAGAGAAAAAGGCAGCATTAAATTGACATTTAAGGGCCATTTATCATCCTTCTGAAACAGAAAAAAGTACAAGAAGTTCAGGAATAGTAGACGACATTCTTTCTGCATGAGGCCCAATGTTTCCTAAATATATTAACTATCTGCGTGTTTCATGGTTGGTACATTTGTAGTTCAGTCAGAATGTTAATGTCAGACAAATGTCTTACAGCATGTTGTAATACTAGTTTGAGTTTAAAGTACAGCTGGTGCATTTACACTCAACAGCCACAACAAAGCCAAAAATAAAGTGCAGGGAATGAAAAGGTGAGTTGGTAAAGAGCTGCTCTATCTAACTATGCAGGTTATCTAAAAAAACAAACCGATGATCTCGTGTACCATGTAGTGTTATGGTTTTCCTCTTTATCTTGCATTCAGCTCTCATACACACTCACACACTCACACACCTAGAGGAAGGAGAGGGAGCACAGAGATTCGTGTTGTTTTATGAACATGGTGGATATCTGGGAGTAAAAAGCAGAATATAAGGACTAAAAGCTGGAACGCACTGGAAGAAAATGTATCACTTCAAGATGAAATTGTTAGCAGCATCTGTGACAACATGTGTTTACACTCTGCTTTGTATATTTGGAGACAGTTTATAGAATGAACTACACTACAGTAAATAGTGTTAGTATTTTGTTTGTATACTAGCTGTTATATATCTTATAGGTTGTTTTTGGATTCTTGGCTTTCACTCATCTTTTTCTTAAATGGAACCTATTATGCAAAATCCACATTTTCCTGTCTTTTATACATAACCATGTGTCCCCTCTGAGCAAAGAGATTCTGAAAGTTTCAGATCCATTTATATAAAAACCTGTCTGAAAATGAGCTGATCAGATTTTGGCCACTTTATGATGTCATAACGATTTTTGGCTTGTGTAACCATTAGCCAATCACCAACCAAGGTAACCGCCCCCCCCCACACCTTATCACCTGAATCTCCTCCTAGAGCACCATTGTGTTCTTTTTAACCAAATATCTCTCAGAGGGTCATGGGGAGTGGCTCCTTATTTTCATCTAAAGTAACAGACAGAATCAGCACTTTGGAAACAGGGCTGAAACAGAGGGGATTATGGGATGCTGCAATGATCTGTTTGGTGTTTGGAGCCAAACACTTCAGAGACATGTTTTGTATATATCTGAGACCTATAATATATTGATGAAAAACAGTATAATAGGGGACCTTTAATACGAGCAACTTCATTAATTTAAATATATCAACAGGTGCAGGATAATAAACCTACTCAAACTGGATTCCAGGAGGAAATAAATAAATACAATGTCCCTTTGTAAAAGCATGAATGTGACGCTTCCAGTGCGTTTCTGCATTACACCTGACTGCACAGCCTAAATACAGTATGTGAGTAGTAGAATAGGAAACTGACCACAGTCTGAAACATAAACCAGCAGAATTCAAACTTTTTTTTTCACTCCCCACACATTATTTTCCTTACATTTTCTGAGAAAGCGAATCATGAAAATGTCCAAGTGGCGTCTCACCACGCCACCATTGGCTTCATTAAGAAGAACAGCAGATTTATCTTTTCCTCACCTTAAGGAAAGTTAAAAAGCCCATACTTGACCTCAGTCTTCATTCCCGTTTCTATAAAAAGGAGGCGTGTTGGAGCAGACCTCAGCTGCAGCGTCTCACGTGCTCCAACACGTACTCTGGGAAGTGCAGGCTGCACACCTGCAGACCGTCCAGTTTGCAAGGCATCCTGGGATACTCGTCCTCCTTCCACTTGTTCTCGTCGGGGTCGAATGTGAGGATGGAGTCACTGTAGTGGCCGTTGTAACAGAGGCCTCCGAGCACCATGATCTGCCGGTCCAGCACCGCCACCCCGTGCCCACTGCGCCCGATGGGCATGGAGCCGAGGATGGTCCACTCGTCGGTGTCGGGGTCGTACACCTCGGTGGACGGGCAGCCCTGAGACTCGAAGGATGCGCGCAGGATCACGCACACGCCTCCGAACACGTACAGCTTCCCGTTGTGGGAGATCATCTTGTGGAAGCAGCGGGCGTAGTTCATTTTGGATTTGTTCTCCCAGCAGCTGGCATGGGTGCCGGGCAGCGCTGGGCCGCGGCTGGTGCGTGTCCTGTGAGCATCCGATCCCCCCGAGCTGCCTCCCCCTGCTCCTCCTCCCCCTGCTCCTCCTGCTCCTCCTGCTCCTCCTGCTCCTCCTGCTCCTCCTGCTCCTCCTGCTCCTCCTGCTCCTCCTCCAGCTGCCTCCCGCCCTGGGTCGAACACACACACTTGTTTGGAGGTGGAGGAGGATGTGATGCCGCCGGTGATGTAGAGTTTCCCGCTGAGCACCGTCCCCTCGTGGCCGTACTTGTTGACGGGGTACGGGTCCACGAACTCCCAGCGGTCCTCTGTGATGTCGTAGCGCTCGGTGGAGTAAAACGTCTCGTCTCGCGTGCGGCCCGCTACTGCGTAAATGAACTTACCGATGACGCCCACAGCAAACTCTGACCTGCAAACACAAAGAATATCTGTAAACAACTGCTTTCAGAGGTCATTCAACAACTCAGCATCTAACATTATGAATTTGACTGCAAGTGAAATGTGAGCTTCTGCACAATGACCTTCAAATTAACATGATAAACAAGGGCCATTTATATGACACTTTATATACAATATGACAAACCCTCCTAGCTCCAGCTCCTCTCACCTGGGCACGGACATGTCGGCCATGCGCAGCCAGGAGTTCTGTCGGGGGTCATAGCGGTATACTTTGGAGGAGGCATGGAACTCTCCGTCGGGCCCCAGCTCCTCCCCGCCCAGCAGGAAGGCAAAGTTGTTTACAATGGCCAGGCAGTCGGGTCGCAGCGGCACCTGAGGGCCCTCCAGCTCCCACCACACCTGAGGGGGGAAAACACAGCTCACTGAACCTCAGACACTTTTATGTGATTCAAGTTGTGTTACATCAGGGTCAGGTAAGACATTTGAAAGCAGCTTGAGATACATTCTGATAAAAACTCATCTTGGGCTTTCCAAAAAGTATTAATACAAAGATTTTCTGCAATAGTAAAAATCCAACTTTAGAATTCAATAATGCGGCCCATGTCTACCCACTCAACGCGTCACCTGCTACTAAGTTAATATAAATAATGTCTACTAAATTAAAAACAAAGTGGTCAGACATGCTCTTGTAGGCAGAGATATGACACCTTTGGTCTCTGTAGCAGCAGGATCTTGCTGTTGACCATGCTGTGTCCGATCATCCCTCTGAACACGGCGGTCTGCGGCCGCACCGAGCGGATGCGGTTGGAACGAGTCTCCACCAAAGGCTGCTGGTTGACATCGTGGAAGTAGCTGAGCGCCAGGTCCACTTCCTGCCGCAGCTGCCGGGAGTAACGGTAAAACTCTGACGTCTTTACCTGAGGCGACGAAGAGGACAAAAGCTTGTTAGCATGATCTGAGCTACTTGTTCCTCTTCTGCATCAACTGTTTTTCTGTATGAATCACTCTAAACTTAGCAGGACATTTCCCAGAAAGCAGCGCTGACCTTCTCGAAGATGTTTGCTGGCGTCATGAGGCAGAAGCGGATGGACTGCACGATGGTGTCTGTGTGTCTCCAGCGCCGCCGGTCATGCCGCAGCCACGACTGCACGGCTTCATACAGCTCGATCTCCGGGAAGCGACTTAGGGCGTCGCTGTTCAAGTACGACTGGTGCAGAGAAAAAGAAACACTGGATTTAGAAAAGGTTTGGCTTTACACAAGTTTTTTTTTTACTGAATAACATATGGCTTTACTGGATAGCTTAAAGCTCTGTTTATAACTTTGACATTTTAAAATCAATATTTGCATGCTTCGGTGTTCTGCCTGCGTATGGATTGCTTTTTAGGATGGTATTTCTACACATCAACAAATGAAGATGATGCTATATTAACATTATGATAGAGTTATTTTCCAGTAGTGACCTTGTAGGATTGCAAACACTTTCAGTATTTTCCAAAATACACAATATTTTTAGTGGTAGGTATATTAAATTGGTGTTAAGAACTCCCCAAACAAATTGTCAAAAATGTTGGAAGGGAGAACCTCAACGAACAGATTTATTCATGAAAAGATCTTGTGTAATGTCTGGAGGATTGTTTGTTTTTTGGAGCTTGGATGGTGGTAATATGTCTAGAGACATTTATAGCTTCACGCATAACGTCAGTACGAGCTCAAACATTTAGAAAATTACTTATAAAACTGACAATGAAAACTAATTGTTTGTGGCCCCATGTTAAATGTCCCACTGAGTGTGTGTCTTGGTTATTAATACATCCTGACAGTAATGACAGTAGGTATTAATAGTTCTAAAAAACAACATTTTTACCTGCAGTCTCTCGAGGCTGAGGTAGGACAGGAAGTCTGGTCGGCTCATGAGGGGGACGAAGTTTTCAAGCAGGAAGTTGTCAAGCTGCTCCTGGACGCCCTCCACACCCACGCTGAAGTCCTCCAGGAGGCGCATGACCTCGGCACAGTTTTCCAGACAGATCTTAGCCAGCAGGAAGGAGCAGCAGAACTCCACCGCCTCCGTCAGCTGCACGTACATGGCCGCCTGGCGGGACAGGAAGTGGAGAAGTGAAGATGTATAAAATGCTGCTCCTGTGACAGACTATTCTTTGCCAACATTTAAGCAGTGGTCCAGGGAATACGTTTTTTTGATAATCTGCAAAGACATTTGTTCCCCCCACATATAAATGACTTCTGAAAATAGAAAGTCAAACATTAGTCTCCCTTTCCTATCCAAAGAATATTTTTGGGGCAGTAGAGCCAATAAAATACCTATACATGTCTTTCAAAAGATGTGCTCAAGATAGGAATAATAAATGGTGCAGGAATGATTGATTTCTGTAGTGGAGCCTGAAGGTAGCATCTCCATGGTTCGATCAATGACATTTCAAAAGAAACAGTGACTTCCAGCAAGTGGACAGGAAGTGCTAAAATGCTAGCGTTTTACGACTCATTCCAGTATTGTGTTGCAGAGAGGATGTCAGATTGTGTTTGGCCTTACCTGCAGGATCTCTTGCACAGTGGGCATGCTGAGCTCCAGAGAGCCATAGTACATGAAGCGGAGAATGTGTCCGAAGCCAGCGGCCGTCAGCCCCTTCATGTGGATCTTGTCCTGGTCCCTCTCCCTCATGTCTGCCGTGAACATGACCCGGAAATAGTCGCTCTGCGTGGCCAGAAGCGCCTTGTGGGCCTGCAGGAGGACAGACATGAGTATATATAAAAAGGAACCAGACTTTACTTGGTTTTATTCCGTTAGATTTTAGAATAAGTTAGTTAGATTAAAGTGTATCTGTCTCTCTGGGAATAAAAGCTGTTTTTTGTTCCTTGAAAGTCGCCTTACATCAGTATTTTACAGATTTAAAGTTGCTAAGAAGTCTTTTTCTAAATCCTGCAAGTTTATATCTTCAATCATTATCAAGAGATCTGTGACTGGATTGTCTAAATTCTGCAGAGATATTCCTGCAGTCATAAGTAAAGGGATATGTATACAGTCTTGAATGAGGGCTTCATGCATACATATGGACCGTGTGTACCTGGAAGTGGTGCTCCTCTATCAGCAGTGTGACGTCCAGCAGCAGGCGCTCCTCGTACAGCGCCCTGAAGCCCGACGACACACTCCCATCATGCACCTGGGACAGGTACACCTCCACATCTGCCCCTGACATAACACACCTGCAGGCATGACGCAGGAACAGGCGGGGGATGGAGACCGGGTGAGTTGATAACAACAGATATATAAAAGACTAGAATTAAATAGGATTAGAAAACAAAACCAGCAGATGAGCTCTCCAAGGTAACGTTTGTGTGCTGCTGAATAAAGTAAGCCGGGGAATCGAAGGGCTTTTAAAAGGACGTTCAGCTTTAAAAGCTCAGCACTTCAGCTGCATCCTAACAAGCTGTTACTCATTCACAAAGAAAGAGTAACTGCACTGGGGAAATAAACCTGCTCCACTGCAACATAGCGAGGAGGTAAAAGAGAAAATAAAATATACTGCAACATCATCCAGTTTCTTCAGCATCAAAACACACACAGCGTTTTAGCATCTCAAAATAATCAGAAAGCTGTCTCAAAATAAAAGATTTGTTGTCATTATTTTTGGACAGTTTATCATTATGATGGGATACTAAGTCATTAAGTGTAAGAAAACTTCCTAATAAATGTAAGCCTAAGTTTTATCTTAATTTGAATTGTACTGGTCACAAAGTGATTGTTAGTAATAGAAACAAAATACACACAAACGTTTTATTTATCAACAAAAGAAAGTAGAAAACACACATTCTCTGCACACAATTGAAAACAAACACACACAGCACACTCACCTCTGATTGGCCACGGGCATGTCAGAGGGGGCTGTCCGAGCCAATCAGAGGACAGTGCCCCTTGTGTCCAGGAGATGCTAACAAAGTCCCTTTTCTGAGCGCCAATCACCTGGACGACAAAGCCAACACACCCGCCACATTACAGCGTGAACGTCTGCAAACTGCAACAAAAAAAAAACAGCCGTACAAGGACTTCAATAACTCTGGACAAAAGTATGTGGCGATCCACACACACACACTGGCCACATCGTTTTGGCCTTAAAACTGTTTGCATATCGTTTTTGTTAGTCAACTAGTTTAAAACTGATGGACAGTTCTGAAACAAACCTCCAGCAATAAGTGTCAATTATCTAAACTGTCAGCACAAAATACAAAGAAGTGAGAGATCAAGAGGAAGAAATAAAGGGCTGATCAGGTTTTTGGGTTAACATGAAGTGTTGCAGACCGCTAATTCATACCTTTTGGAGCCCGGGGGAACAATCACAGGCTTTGTGGGCTGAGCGTTAAGGGGTCGTTCGCATTTCCTGTGTTTATGTTTCCCTGGTTCTAACAGAGAAACAGAAGAACCGTAAGATGCTGGTGGAGGACGGAAAACTAAACATAGACATCAAATGTGCCAAGACACAAACAGACCACATGTATAACAAAACATCAACAAAAAATGATGATAAACGATACTAACACACTTGAAATAATGATTTAGATTCTCAAAATGATGATTTAATATGTCAAAATTAGGAATCAGTATTTCAAAGCAAGGACTTAGTAAGTCAAGATAATGAAAGCTTCATCAACATAATAACTAAGTTACTCAAGGTAATGAGAAACTCTCAAAATAATGACTTAGTACCTGAAATAATGACTAAGATTTCTTAAAATAATGGCTTAGCAACTTAATATAATAATTTAAGTCTCAAGATAATGACTTAGTAACTCAAAAATAGTAAGAAACTTTGTCAAAATAATGATTTAATCTTCAGGATAGTGAGAAACTTTCCAAAACAATTACTTTGTATTTAAACTAGAAAGAAACGTTTCATTATTTTTGAAAAAGTGTTCTACTCTGTTGTGGTACGAAGTCCTCCTTTTGAGTTTCATTATAATGACTTACAGGTTTTTTCTTTTTTCATTACAAGGCTATATAATGTTTTCCTTTCACTGTCAGAAATGTTTTTCCATATCTGGTGCTCTCATAAAGCCATGTTACTTTTCTCTGAAATATTAACAATACCTAAATGTTCCCTGCACACAGTAGATGAAGTGTATCAAAATAAGTGAGAAGCACATCATTCCCATTGCCTTGTAATAAAGGAAATACTTTGCTTTGTTCAAATAATAAATAATCGTATACACCTTTTGTTTTTACTTGAGCTATGTGACCTTACATGCTGGTATTAGATCCCAAAAACAAAGGCTCAGGCTATACATAATAATGGTACACACAAAAAAGATGAAACATGTCTTGTAATTTGAATAATGTGTAAAATGTTAAAATATTTCACTTCAGAGCTAGCTACCTGCTAGCCAAATTAACTGTCACGATTCTCAGCGGCTGGAGCTACGGGGGACCCAACACTGCTCTGCCGGGGTAACAGCTTAGCTTAGCGGCTAAAACCAGCCGTCTCACCTCGGCGGTGCGAATCCCCACAGCCCCTCTTCGACCAGGCAGCTCCGGCTCCGTCGGACATGAAGTTGCGGGTTCGATTCCGGGTTCAGGAGAGCGGTTGGCAGCGGTTCACTGCCATGTTATCCTCCATCTGCCAGACGAGGAGATCCCCCACTCGGCTCAGAAATTAAACGGGTAGTAAGAAACCACAGCGGTCCACAGGCTTTGCGGACGCCATCTTCTACACCCGCGTCACTTCCCTTTTGGGCGGAACTGAAGGGCGTAGTGCGGCAGAGAGATCGTATGTAGTAGAAAGATGTGTCACTCTGAAATGATATCAACCTGCAGCACAAACTTTCGTTGGTGATGCTAAAGTCCAGCTTTATTTATTTATCATCCGTTTACTTACTTACGTACTTACTTGCATTTAAAAAAAATGAATATTTTAGACAAATTGTACAATGGAAAACCCCATTTAACATATAAAGCTATTTTTTTTTCCAATGATGCATAACTTTCTAATTGTTTTTTATCATTGTTTGCCAGCCATTGTATAATGTAAATTTGTTAATTAATAGATGTTATTAATATGGGCAACACATGCCCTTAAAGTTAGAATTAACCTTTTTATTGGTACAGAATTGTATATGCTTTTATATACATCATTAAAAACAATTAAGAACATACTTCTATATAATACTAAAATTTGATTTTGAGAGAATATTATAATACATTGTTGCATTACACCCACATGAAAACACTCTCAGACATGTTTTTTGCTTGTAAACTTCTTTAGAATTTATTTGAAGCATTGTCTGTAATCAATACATAACTGTAACTTCAATGTGTGAAATCTCGCAAGAATTACACTTCTGTCCCTGCGATGGACCCATTTTTCCTGATTTCTGAACCACTGGACATATTAAAATGTCATTATTTCTTCTCTAGAATTCCACATTCAACTGTTGATGATCTATAAATCTTTCTCATACAGGACTTCATCTATGAGAACATCGTTGTCGTCGACAGGGATTTCTGGAAGCAGCTGCTCTTTGAAGGCGAGGGCGATGGTGTAGGGCTTTCCTTTGGGGTGCTTCATACAGCGCTCCAGGTAGGTGTCGTAGAAACCCTTCCCTCGGCCCAGACGCTTCCCCAGACTGTCAAAACCCAGCCCTGGCATCAGGATCAGATCCAAACCTGGTGTAGGAAATATTGTTTTCACTTAACATAAGTCTAGTTGTAAAAGCTGTTGATGTGTGCCTAAAACATATGCATTGTACTTACAAAGGCTTACTTGAGTTAAGGTAATTTTAAAACTGCATAGTGAACTTGATTACTTACTTTTAATTTACTCTTGAGTGAGTAAAGACTTTACAGAGTTATTATTTCTTGAATATTTAAAGATTGTGAAATGGTCCGTTTTTTACATGTGGACATTCTATTCTCCTTTATTGTTGCACTGAAAATAAATGTGTTTTTATATTTTTTACATATTTGGGTTTTGAATCAAAAAGTTCTGTCAACAAGGTACCACTTGTAAGTATGATTTTTTTCTTAGCAGTGAGAAATAATTACTTATGCATCATATTATTTAAATATATACATTGGTGGCGCATACATATTATCAACTTTGAGGGACTTGCAGCCTACTTTACTACGTACAATTTGAAAGCAAATACTGTAATTGTTGTCGGTTCAATGGATAAATATAAGATATAAGTAAACTAAAGAATTATGATGTCCTTTTAGGGATTAATATACCATGCATGCAGTATAAAAAGCCATTAAAGTTAGCTCAAATGTTACCAGGTTTTACACAAGAATGCATCACTTATTATAATCCATTGATATATATATTTATTATTTATTATATGAGTGATTTAAGTAAAAGTATATTTTGATGCAACAACTTTATAACCTAAGTAACGTTTTGAATGCATGATTTGTACATGTAACACTGTCTGAATAAAATAAGGATATAATTCCTACCTCCTGCAGACAGTGCCTCCTCTCTGCTGCTGTCCTCTGCTGCAGGCTGCTGGATGTTCCACGCAGTGAGCGGCAGGGTCTCCATGTCCTGCAGACTGCGGAGCTGCAACATGTCCATGTGGTTGCTGCTGCTCTCATATCTGGGAATAAAGCAGCTTTTCCCACATTTAAACACGTCTCTGATGATCTCCTCTGTGCGCACCTCATCGTGCATGCTCAGAAACACTGCGATCCTCTTGCAGGACACATACTTGGGGTGTCTGAACAGCAGTTTGGAGAGGACCGAAGACTGTCGTAGCTTCTCCTCGTCACTTAACGCTGCTACACGCCGCTTTATTTCTTTCCTTAAAGCTTGCTTTGCTGCACGCAGGGCGGCCATTCTTCCCGTTATAACTTTAAATAGTCTGAATAAAAGTTGATTTAACAAATAAGTATTCTAAGTTTGTTCTGCACGCGTTTGCTACTGTGAACAATGCGATTTCAACATGGACAGCCTATCTTTTCGCTTTTTAGAAGTTAAACATTAACAAGTAGGACTGCAAACACATGGCAGGGGTTGAAAACGGTCAAAAAAGTAATGACAGCAAGGATTGTGTTAACCATGGAGTGTTAACCCCTAATATTACAATAAACAGTCCAGCAAAGACTCCACGCGCCGCGTGACTGTGATGTCAGCTGCATGCCGGAAGTCAAACTTTTTTTTTTAACAAATTAGAAGTACAGATTTTTTTCAGAAAAAATTACAGAGAAACCATAAACAACATGCATAGGCCTACTACCATAATATTTTAATAATATAATTTCTAACAACAGCAAACCTGTGGAGGGGTAAATCTCCCTTGTTTATTCTTTATTTTTGTTCGAGTAAATATTGTATTATATTAGTTTATTTCCCGTTTGAGATTTTGGTTTATAAATTCAACAAAACAAAATATATTTTTTTGAAAACTACAAACAACAAAACATGTTTTTTTTACATACTACACTACAGGACTACATACATGACATTTGATGACGTCAATTTACAACGACGGCCCTGACACATGGTAAAACATATTTTAGTTTTTTTTTTTATTGTACAAAACTGTTAAAACGTGTCCCCTGTTAGGTGTTTAATTGTTGTTAACGGTTTATTGACAACAACAGCGTCATTTAATTAAATGCATTTTACAATAAAAAATGAATTGCATCAGTCGTTCTGAAAGGACCCCGTTGGATGAGTCACACGAGTTGAAGCCACTATCTTTGTATTTTGTCAATGCAAATAAATATATAACCTAGGACGTGTATTAAGTATATATGTTTTCTACCAACTGTACAACAATATGAGATAATTTGATGGGAAAAAATTGGCACAGAGAAAGAGTCGTTTTTAGCAGTTGATCAGGCATTCGCCGCAGCCGCCTCCTTCATTGCCTTTTCATTCAAGATGGCGGGTGACGAGTTTGGTAGTACAACGCTGGGCCAGCCTCATCTGGCTAGACAAGACCTTAGTACTCTGGTAAGTGTCAGTTTAACGGATTTAAGATTTATGTTTATTTGTATTGGGGATTGTTGGTCCGGTGTGTTTCCAAAATGAACCCTTAAAGTGCGGATTCTTACCGCTAACAGTCGCCGGTGCTACTACGCCGGCACATGACGACAGGCCCGGCGGGGCGGATAGTCAACGTACCCGCAACACTATTTCCCCTGGATAGACGTTAAACTAAACTCAAATAAAGATTTCATGATTACACAAACGGTTACACGTTATATTTACAGCGCCGTTGTAATTGCCAGCTTTGTAGTACGCCAGTTTTATCTGCTTAGCCCTGTTGGATTAAATCGTTAGCATCATATGCTAAATGTAACTAAAATCTACATTGTCAATGGGAGTCGTAACTGTGATGGAAGGAGCCATGTTGTTCAATATATTCCTTTTCATTCCAGGCGTATTACAGCAGATGTAATCGTCATATCTGAAATATGTGGATACTAGTATACTAGACCACATACTCAAATACGTTTTAATCAGTAGACAAAGAACATGATACAGACGGCATGCTTTGTTATAAAGCCAGTTTTAATATGTTCAGTTATCTTTCATGTCATTTTTAATAAAATCAAATATAATAGCCATAGGAACTGAGCATCTACTTCATATGTTTGCAGTCAGTGTGGGGCATTGGTCAGTGTGGGGCATTGGGGTAGCTCTCTTGTTTCTTTTCACCTCCAGGATTAAAGCGAAAGGGTCAGCGCTGCACTGCTCACAAACAAAACCTTTCAAATGATCTGTTTTTCAGTTTAGGTTGACTAATGCAAGTTTTTTTCTTCTGTTACAGAATGTGTCTACTTTGACACCTCTCTCGAGAGAGATTATTAGCAGACAGGCCACCATCAATATTGGTAAGTGAATCCTGCCAACTATTGGTTGACATTTTGTGTCTTTCAGCTTGTTGAAAATTATAAGTCAAGACTTCCTGTTTTGACATGTCTTCTTCTCCCAGGCACCATTGGTCATGTGGCCCACGGAAAGTCCACAGTAGTGAAGGCCATCTCTGGTGTCCACACTGTTAGATTCAAGAACGAGCTTGAGAGGAACATCACCATCAAGCTAGGATATGCTAACGCTAAGGTACGTGGGGGATTTAGTTGTCTTGTCTACCTGATATCTTCCTCCTTTTGAGAAAACTGTGTTTTACTTGTTTGGATTATAATTGCAAGATTTGTCTTATTACTTGGGGTCAAGTACTTCCACACCAACAACATGATGTGTGTGTGCGCCTATATTGTTAGTCGCTCCCGTAAAAACGTCATGCTGCACACGCATGTTATGGAAAAAGCTATGACAGTTTCCGATTATAGCTGATCAACAGGTGTGTTTTCTATGTCTCAGTTTGCAAGTAAAGTCAATTAATCACTTAAATAAAGAAGCAGAGAGTGCTTTTAAAGCCACACTTTTCCCTGTAAAGAAATGCCTTCAATTTGACACTACCATAGGATGCAAATCATTAAAATCGACTGGACATTTCCTTGTTTGCAGGTCTATAAGCTGGACGACCCCAGCTGTCCCAGGCCCGAGTGCTACAGGTCGTGTGGCAGCAGCACACCTGATGAGTTCCCCTCAGACATCCCAGGCACCAAGGGCCACTTCAAACTGGTCAGGTGAGTCTGAAGAGAGAGTGAGACAGGGTGGTCATTTCCCCCCTGCAGGGATTAAGCCTTTTCATCTGATCCTTTAAATCCTTTGAGATCAGTTTGACCCTGAAATAGTTTTTCATGAATGGGACTTTTGCTCTTCCTTCTCCCAGGCACGTGTCATTTGTGGACTGTCCCGGTCACGACATCTTGATGGCAACCATGTTGAACGGAGCCGCCGTCATGGACGCAGCTCTCCTGCTCATTGGTAAGCCTCTGAAGCCTAACTCCCACCAGCAAGACAAACTTCAGCCCCAGTTTCTTTTTAAAATCTCTGACGTTGTTTCTTTTCTCCAGCGGGTAACGAGTCGTGTCCTCAGCCCCAGACGTCAGAGCATCTGGCCGCTATCGAGATCATGAAGCTGAAGCACATCCTCATCCTGCAGAACAAGATCGACCTGGTGAAGGAGAGCCAGGCCAAAGAGCAGTACGAGCAGATCCTCTCCTTCGTACAGGGTGAGTCAGCGTGAATCTGCACTAAAGAACAGGATATGGCTAATCCATTTTAAACAGAAAGCAAAACATTCTGCCCTACAAGAAAACATCCCCTGAAGCTTTCCCTTCTTATAAAGAGACAATTTATGTGACATTTAGCAACTCTGCACCATATCATCAGAAAACACCTTACGCCTGTTTATCTGTATGCAGATTATTCATGTTTCAAAATGGATCACAATATTGGTGTCACAATCATCTTTTATCATCCTCTAAGCCAGTGATTCTCAAACATTTTCAATAATGTACCCCCTTTGAAAAAAAAAATAATTCAGCCAAGTACCCCCTGATCAGCGCAAAAACTATTTGTTAGGGGAAAAAAAGCCTATATAAAAGAGGTACAGCGCTGCACCATCAGTGTCTGATTTATTAAAACAACAACATGAGAAACACTTAAATGCTACATTTCAAATGTTTACAATCCATCACTAAATTCATGGCAAACCAATTTTAACATCATGCAATAACACTGAGACGACATTAGTTGCATTGAACTGATCTTTTTAACAAGTTGTACTTACAATGTAGTGAGAAACATGGGCTTGAGCTTCACTGAGGATCTTTGTCATTCTGACAGGGAGGCAAACTGCAGTTATTACACTTCACGTTTTGAAATATGTGTAACTGTTAATATAAAACCCACACTGCTCAAACTTCGTTACTCGTTTTTTTTCATTAACATAAAATAAATCTCACGTACCCCCTGCAGTACTCCAACGTACCCCTAGGGGTCCACGTACCCCCATTTGAGAACCACTGCTCTAAGCTGTTATTTTGCAGGATTTGATGTGTGTGATGTTTGTCCTGCAGGCACAGTGGCAGAGGGCGCTCCCATCATTCCTATCTCAGCTCAGCTGAAGTACAACATCGAGGTGGTTTGCGAGTACATCGTCAAAAAGATCCCAGTTCCCATCAGAGACTTCACCTCTGAACCCAGACTCATTGGTAAGAAACAGGTCTTTCTTTGTCATGTTTTTATCCTTGCATATTACACTTTCCTTTCAATTTTGTGCGGTGAAATCTCATGCATGCCTCTTTTTTTTTTCAGTTATCAGATCTTTTGATGTGAACAAGCCCGGCTGTGAGGTGGATGACTTGAAAGGAGGTGTTGCTGGAGGAAGTATCCTTAAGGGTGTGCTCAAGGTGCGATGTTCTTTATACTTGAACATGTGAACACAGTATTTTATGCAGTCGCCTACAACAGTTTTTCTCTAACCCCTCCTCCTCTGTATGTGGCCTGCAGGTGGGTCAGGAGATCGAGGTGCGGCCCGGCATCGTGTCCAAAGACCACGAGGGAAAGCTGATGTGCAAACCCATCTTCTCCAAGATCGTGTCTCTGTTTGCAGAGCACAACGACCTGCAGTACGCTGCACCTGGAGGCCTTATCGGTACGCCCACACGCACCTAAATAAACCGAGATGTATTCTTTGAAATGATGAGAGAGAATACCTATACATTAAAAGATATATAGTTGCATAATCTGTGTCTGTGTGCAGGTGTGGGCACTAAGATCGACCCCACCCTGTGCCGAGCGGATCGTATGGTGGGTCAGGTTCTGGGTGCAGTGGGAGCGCTGCCAGAAATCTTCACCGAGCTCGAGATCTCCTACTTCCTGCTCAGGAGGCTGCTGGGAGTCCGCACGGAGGGAGACAAGAAGGCGGCCAAGGTGAGATGTGCAGCAAGGGAAATGTAGTCCAAAGGTTTACTGAACTTAAAGAGAGGAAGGATGTTTGGCCGTTGACTGTAAGATGCGAAGAGGCTAGTCTTAATCCTGCATTTCAGAATCAGAAATCCTTAATTAGTTCCACAGTGCATATGACAATAATATTTTTTGAAAAGATTCTGATAAAAACGTGCTGGAATTAAGAGGTCTGTCGTGGATATTTGTGTAGTTCTGTCCCAAAGACTGATACTCTGCGATCACCCAGAATCTGATGATTGTTCTGAACTGTTTCTTTGTTTTGTGCCTCTGCAGGTCCAGAAGCTGTCTAAGAACGAGGTTCTGATGGTG